GTTGCTAAAAATATAATAACGGCACTTTTCGCAACAAAAATATTTGGTCCCTAAATTTTGGTCTCTAAAACCTTAATTTTTTGTAGTGTTTGTTATAATATGGTCCCTCCATCAAACGTTGTCAACATTTTAAATGGAAAAAATCATATGAAAAATTAGAGAGATCAAAGTGAAATTAAAAAACAAACTATAAAGACAACATGTGTAATGAATATATTACACCGGTAATTGTTGTAATTTATTTTGAATTACATTTTGGTCTCTCTAGTTCTAATTGTAAGTGACAGAGGGATCACATTATAATAAATTATTCAAAATAAAACTATGAGAAATAAAGTCACAATTTATTTAAATTATAGAGACTAATCATCTAATTTACCCAATTAGAAATCACATCATATGAACTCTGTGTAAATACAATTTGTATCTGTCTTAATTACCACTACAACAAAAAAACAGATTTCGCGACTAAAACTGGATTTTTCGTCGCTGAAAGTAGTAGAATTGGCGACTAAAATGGAATTAGTCGCCAAAATTGATCACTTTTGCCGACTAAAAGAGTTTAGTCGCCGAATATAAGGGTTTTAGCGACTAAAAGTCAGTTTAGTCGCCGAATATAGGGGTTTTAGCGACTAAAGGTTTTTTAGTAGCCAAAAGTGACAGTTTTTTGCCACTAAAATAATTTAGTAGCCAAAAGTATAGGTTTTGGCGACCAAAAAACAGTTTGGTCGCCGATTCTACGTGTTTTAGCGACTAAAAATAGTTTGGTCGCTGAAAGTGAAGCTTTTTGGCTACTAAAAAAAATTAGTAGCTAAAAACAGTCAATTGGCGACTAAAATTTAGTTTAGTAGCCAAAAGGGAACGTTTTTGGCGACTAAAAACAGGTTTAGTCGCCAAAACTGGTTTTTTTAGGCGAGAATGAATTTTTTTAACGACTAAAAACTAATTAGTAGCCAAAACTATACAATTGGCGACTAAAAAATAGATTTAGTTGCCAAAAGTGATCTAATTTTTTTTTTAGTAAATAATTTATTTTTTACATAAATTATATTGAATAAAAATAATTATTTTTATATATATAGTTTTGTATAAATACCGGTCAAAGTAATATATAAACAATATATGTTGCAATTATATTCTTGTGATGTTGTAGTGGCATAGTGGGGAGAGTGTGTTGATAAAGGTTTGGAATGTGGGATGGGTCGGTGGCTCAAATCTTGGGAACAGCAAAGGGTACATTTTTTTTTTTCTGAAATATGCTTTTGGCGACTAAACACAGTGGTCGCCAAAAGATTGACTATTGGCGACGAAAAGCTAAGTCGGAAAATGTATAAATTAAAAAAAAAAAATAATTCACTATTGGCGACTAAAAGATTAGTCGCTAAATGTATAATTTTCAAAAATGTACTTGACTATTGGCGACAAATTCTTTGGTCGCTGAAGACTAAAACTTTGCCGACTAAAATTTTTTTAGTCGCCAATACCTCCGCCGACCATCTATTCACGACAAAACCGGCGACTAAAATATTTAGTCGGGGAAAGTGAAAAGTCCACTTTTGGCGACTAAAAAAGGACTTTTGGCGACTAAAAATTTAGTCGCCAAAGGTGTTTTTTCTTGTAGTGTACTAGAAAATCACGAGAAGATTTGGAAAAGTATTAAATAATGAGGATAAAGTAGATTGATAATTTAACCAGCTTTTCTTCTCTTTTTATTTATTTATTTATTTTTGTCTAGGTGTAGAGATAATATTAGGATTACTCAAACAAAAAGTGTAGAAATAGAGGATTGTTATTAATCCCTACCTTTCTTCTTAGAAGTCCATCTCTTCCATTTTTTTTTAATTCCAATTTTATCCCAACTTAAAATTCCACTCTTACCATCATTCCTAATCTTCTAACCTTAATTTTCCAAACCCTAATCCTAATCCTAACCCGAACCCTAACCCTAATTACCTCTGACAGTCACCATCTCCAACCAACCGCCGCAACCACCACCATCTCCAACCACCCCTCGCCCCTTAGAGAGAGGGATCGAGCGAGAGAGAGAGAGAGAGATCAAACAAGATCAAGATCGAGCGAGATTGATCTCCATCGTGTCGCCATCATCTCACTGCAAAACCCTAGCCCAGCTATCATGTCGCCATCATCTCGTTGCATTACAGAACCTAGGCCTGCAAATGAACAGAGTCGTTCGTGAATAGGCTCGAGTTCGGCTCGGTAAGAGCTCATTTGAACTCGGTTTGTTATTTTTTTTATTTTTTTTATTTTTATTTTTTTTTGAGTTCAGCTCTAGCTCATTAAATTTTTAATAAATAAGCCCAAACATTTTAAAGTTCGGCTCATTGATTGGCTCATTTAATATTTATTATTTATATATTAAATAATGTAAAAATATGTATAAAAAAATAAGATAAATTTGTTATTTATATATTTAAAAAATATAAATGTAAATAATAGTTAACTATAGATAGTATATTAATATAATAGTGGTAGTAGCTATTATTATTTTAGTAAAATATTGACTTTTTTTTTTAGTATGTTTATATACATTGTATATATAATTGTGTAATCAAAGTTTTAATTGTAACTTTAGTCTCATATGCAAGTATGAATTTATAAAAATTTTGGCTCGTTAAGGTTCGTGAATAGGTTCGAACTTGAGTCAAGCTTAAGCCAACTAGTCTCAAACTCAGCTCGCTAAATTTTCATCGAGTTCGAGTTCGAGTTCGAGTTCGTGTTCGTGTTCGTGTTCGTGTTCGTTAAAATCTTAATAAACAAGCCCAAACATACTAAAGTTTGGCTCGACTCAACTCGTTTGCAACCCTAGCAAAACCATCGATCTTCGTCTTCTTCTCCTGCGAATTGCTCATTCCCTCATCCTCCTCCTCCTCCTCCTCCTCCTCTACACTTTCGAAGAAGAATCTGGGTCGCGGTAATGGCGAAAGAATCTAGGTTGCTAGAAGAAGAATTTGGGTTTTCAAAACCAGATCTAGGTTTAGAGGAGAAAGAATAAGAAGAAGAAATCAGGGTGAGGTTGGGTTTAGGCTTGGAAATGGAGAGGGTAGAGGTCGCTGGTGAAAGACTGCCAACGGTGGAAACATCGCCAGAAAAAGATGAGTTGGGAGTCCAGAGAACAGAAGTATAGTTGGTATTAAGATAAGGGTTCAAAGAGAAGATGTGAAGGTTTCAATTATGTGAGTGGGGTTCAAAGAAATGGGATGGCCAAAGTAAAAAAGCGGGGGCAAAAAGCAGCCCTCATAGAAATAAATAGGGTAAATTACAAATACAGTCTTTCAAGTTTGTTTAAAATACAGATTATCTTATGTAGTTTTAGAAATTACATCTCGTTCTTTCAAAGTTCTAATTATATAACAAATAACCTCTTTTAGTAATAAATCATCATGTCAATCAATTATTTTTAATGATATCAGAAATATATTTCAATTAACAATTAAGATAATTTTATTGTTGTATAGAAGAGTATTTAGAAATTTATTTTTATTTTATTTTTTTGTTGATTCTGTTAATTTTAAAATTTTGAGAATAAGTATATGTAATTTTCAAAACCACATAGGACAATTCATATTTTAAGTAAACTTTAGAGGTATATTTGTAATTTACCCAAATCAATAAAACCAGATTGAACCTGTGGGCCAAAATCACTTGAAGTTGATGCTCAACTTACACAATTTTCATTGCCAAATAGAAGCCTTCCTACTTTTAACAACCAGTAGAAATAGTACTGAAAGTATGGTGGTAAAAACAAAAATCAAATTATACCTGTGATTTTTTTGATTTGTCTATTGTATCAATCTGATCCTGTAATTTTAATTATATCAATTTTTCCTTTAATTTTTCACATAGTATCAAATTTAATTCAATTAATAACTGTTAAGATAAATTATAAATATATCTCTTGAGATTTACTTAAATTATAGATTGCCCCTTGTATTGAAAATTACAAATACCCTCTCATCAAAAAAGATTATTTAACAGAATTAACAGAAAAAATAAAATTTCTAACTACTCTCCTATGCAACAATAAAATTACCTAAATTGTTAACAAAAAATATATTTTTGACATTATTAAAAATTGTTAATCAACTTGATAATTTATTAATAAAATAGATTATTTGTTATATAATTATAAACTTGAAGGGATGAAATGTAATTTTTAAAATTACAAAAGACAACCTATAATTTAAGCAAACTCCAGATGACGTATTTATAGTTTACCCTAACATCTATTAATAAATTGAAGGGTTAATTACATTTTAGTCCTTAAAGTATGAGCATGGTTAGTCTCTAATGTTTAAATTGTGTCAATTTAGTTATAATGTATAAAAGAAATTTAATTTAGTCTCCACTATTTAAATTGTATCGATTTGATTTTCAATATATGAGTGTCAATTTAATTCTCAATTTTGAAGTGTCAATTTAATCCCCCAATATATACAATGTATTTCAATGCAGTCCCCTAATACATTAGGGACCAAATTGACACTACCATACATTAAAAACCAAACTGAAACACTTTGGTTTTTGTTTTTATTATGCCAAAAATAAAACTTAAAATTTGTTCACAATTTTTTTTTTTTAAAAAAAAAAAACAACAAACTTTTACAGAAACACCAAGATGTTGTTTTTAATTTTTTTTTAAAAAAATCAGACAAAAATAAAAATGATAAAATAACAATGACTGTTTTCGAATGTTTTCGAATGCTCTATTTTCAAAAACACGAAAAACAAATTCGAAGGTGCATGGCACCCAACTGAATAACTTGGAACACAGCTCCTCGGGGTTTAAAATGTCACATTGGGGTGACACTTCGAGGATTCTAATAAATTTCACTACTATTGTGGGTGCATATAGATAATCACAGTAACATCAGAACCTTTTCAGCATTAGCATTTCTATATGCTTTGAACCATAGAGTTCAAATAACAAAAACTAAGCAGAATCAATGACAGAAAAAGAACATGAACATGTTCAAGATCTATTTACCAAACAGCACAAATGACGAGTATACCCATTTCAAAACCAATGACAATCTTATCATTAGGGCACAAGCACATATGTTGATATATACCAGAAGACACAGCATTTTATAGCTCATTTCTCAAGGCAAAAATAGAAAATTATGGAGAAAAGTAAACAAATAACAATTCAAAGAGCAAGTGCTTCAGACCTACCAACTACAAGAAACGAGTCCAATGCATTGTTGATGTATCAAACTAATGGCCATGGATCAACGGATCAATGACTCAAACATAGCTGTCGATCAATGATTTCCTCATCTCATCAACAATGGCACTAGGTTGGGCTTCTCGCAACTTGAAGACGCTCTCAATGACTGACAATTCTGTTGCTGTAGTGTCTGATCCACAGAATGCTGTCCAGTCGTTAACTGTCAAGCCGGCGGCTATCACTTCACTACCACGATTCACAGTCCCTGCCACCAAAGGGACCTGAAGGAGGGTTGAAAGTTCATCCAAGTCTTCAATGGATGTATGAGGATGGATCTGCTCCAACACAGTTTCCATTAGAAAGCGGACAACAAAAGATAAAATTTTGGTACCTGATGTTTGATAAGATTGCCACAGATGCAGGATATAATTTCTTACCAGGCCACCTTTATTGGAGAAGGCACAATAGCTGCCCACAAGAATGTTACCAGCAATTGTCTGCCTAAAAACTTCTACCCCAAGAACATCTGCAATCATCTCCTCAGTTTCCTGCAAGTCAACATGAATATAAGTGTTATCTAATAGAAGTTTAAGTCCTACAACATAAAAAAGAAGAATCATCACTGCCTGTTGATGCCGGCATCTACCTAAATTTAAGGAAGAATCATTACCCAGACTGAATGAATTACCATAAACTAGAAAAACACAATGCAACCAGTCTATAGAACTATTCAAGAACCTGATGAGTTATGTGCACCTCCACTTTACATGGGCTAAGTAATAGATGAACAGACAAGATCAAGGGCATTCCAAAAGAACAAATTACGGCCCTGGGACATTCCAAAAGAACAAAATAGTGGATTTGCAATTGCATAAGCTTACAAGCTACCTCGAGAATCAGAAATGAAATTCAAAGGTTTAATAAACCAGGAGAGTATATCAAATGTATTTTTTAGCAAAATTGGGGGTAGAAACAGGTGATTGGAAACAATGGAATAATAATGCTATGTTGCTGACTGAGACTTCACCACAGCAATCACCCATAGAGAGGGGAAACTAACGAAGACAAGCTATATAAATTGGTGGCATCAATGAAGTGCACAATTGTCACCATAGTATGCTCAACAGATGCTTGCTAATTATTAACAGAAACTCTGCACAAAATAGCTATAAGTCTAGCCATCTTCCATGGAATCAGAGTAATCGGAAGCAAAGATACAGCTAAACTACATAATCAATGCGACAGAATAAGAATGTTGAAATGGATGGCTAACCAAAAAAAAATTAGAGGATCAATTTAGAAACCTTCATGTACTCATCAAATGATCAAAGGTTTTTTGAGTGCATAGTGGATAATACTAGCTAAGATTGTTTAGCTATGCAAAATAAAGACCAGAAGCTGCACTAAATAAAAGGAGTGGACTGGTTCAACTCAAAGCAACCTACAAGCAAGGAGAAAGTTTTTCATAAAGGAAGAAAATCATTTAGAAAGACTCAAGGCTGCAAAATGACGACATAAAATTATTGCACTGAAGATATAGCCACAATCCCATACATGGTACTCAACCAGAAGTAGTTGCGAAATAGCTTTTTTTGAGTGTAGATGCATGGTTAGAAAAATATGAAGGGTGAGTTTGGTTTGATTTTGGGAGATAAATTTTTTAAAAAAAAATTGAGAGAGTTTAGAAATTTTTTTGGTTTGTTTGGTTGTATATTTTGGAAATAGTTTTGGAGTATGGGAGTTTGGAATGATTTGATATTTTATTGTAGTTGAGTAGATATATATGAGAGAAAAAGTAATTGAGAAGGAGAGGGGAGAGAGAAAAAGTGATTGATTGATGTGTAAGAGAGAAAGAGTGATTTTGGATTTTTTTTTTTTTTTCCAAAATCACTAAACCAAACAAAATTTTGAAATTTTTTCTCCAAAATTACTCTCTCAAAACCAAACCAAACAAGGCCGAAGACTCCAACAAAAAGGAACACAACCTATGGCCTGCCTTAGTCTTGGCTTGTAGATGTACATGTAGGAGATGCTCTCAACTTTACAGCATGTGTTTAAAACCATGGTCAGGACACGGAAAGCCAGCTCTTAGGCTTCTAGCAGAAAATAATCTATTTCACATTCAACTGTGCGCACAGGTACGCAAGTACCCCAAACCCAAAATCATGAAAGTGGATTATCTTGTGTCCACAAGATATTACCTGCCTTCGAGTCCAGGAAGTAAAGAAAGCTCTAAATGCATCTTCCAAAATGGATTAGAGCATTAGCACATTAATTTAAACCCTTTGTAGGAAGAAAAAGCAAAGAAGAGGGAGGGAAGGAATCATCAAAAAACAGGCAATAACCAATATTTATTCAAATTGATTAGCAATTGAAATTCAATCTCCAAAGACATTTGTCCCAAAGAAACAGGCAGCTTTACCTTGTCAAGATCAGTGTGTGTTAGAGCAACGTAATCATTGCATGCTATACAATTCCCTAGAGCAGATAATCTCTCTTCAATGCGCTGTACAACAACTTGATCTGGCAGACTGTTCCTCAGGTGTTGAAGTTCTTCAACCAGGAAAAAAAATAGGAATGTGAGGTCCACAAGTAGAGAAAAATGCCATGAAATATTTTGAAGGCTAAAACTTAAGAGTTAATTCAGTTCAATCTTTATAACAGAAAGTCATTACATTACATGTTTATCTATACCAATATGTGTACGGTGTAAGTGTAACATTCAGAGGAAGCTGCCTTCTAAGAAAGTTCAAATGTTCATAAAACACTGCAGTAGCTATCAAACATGAATTCACGTAGAGTAATGCTATACAAATTAACAAATCTGACAAACTCTCTTACTCACTGATGTGGCACTTATCATATTATTGAAGTAGGTCCAGCTTCAGATTCCAAACTTTCATTATTGCATGCCACATCAGTTTGTAAGATTTGTTCGCTTATATAGCATTTTCCATTCACAAATTTTAATTGAGAGATGCAAAACAAGACTTGAAGAATTGTGAGCTTGTCAAAGACTGCCATGACAGCTCCCATTTGCATTTAGAATATAAAGTTGGTAGAGCAATCAATAAATAGATTGTTCCACTTCCCACAAGGGTGAAGAACTCCTGCCAGTTGCCCTACAAAAATCATAGAAATATAATAGAGCTACATGGAAGAGAGATCCTTCTGCAGCTGAACAGAAGGTAACAAAATGGCTTCCTAGATCTCAACCTAAGACACTAATAGGGTCATGTTCTTCTTCTGAAACCCTTTAAACAGATCCAATCATCCCGTAGAAATTTAATGGAAGCAAAAAAGAAAAAGCATAAAATTCTGTAACATAACTCAGGGACTATGGCTTAGACAAAGTTGTTTCAACTGAATGAGTAACTGCTTGACAGACCACTAAAAAGTATAGGATTACGCTGCAGCCAATAACAAAGCAAATATCACTCAAATCATTAAAACCCTTTAACGTATCTCCTCTTGGACAAGAAAGGTTTTGTTTGCCTTCTTCTAAAGCAAGAAAATTGGGGGAAAAAAATTTAAAAATTAAAAACAACAATATCATTTAGCTATCACAATTTGTTTCACCACAAAGGATCAACCATACCAAAACAACACCAAAACACCTTCATACCTTGAATTTTGAAAGAATATTTTATCATTCTATGATATATTATATGAGATTTTAATGTTCCAAAATGAGGATAACTATGCAATCATTTTCCTTATACATGGACGTAATTTTCACCCAGTAGCATCAAGTGGAATTAAAAAGGAAAGATTTGGTCAAATAAAATTCTAAGAAACACAAGAATATCCATGATAACTAAGAGCAACATAAAAATGTAATCCTACTTAGAATAACAAAATGTTTGTCACAGCATTACCTTGGTCAGTGGTGGTGTGAGGCAGCAGAAGCCCATTTTTGTTTCCTACAACAAAAATCAAATGATGGCATTGAGATAATCAGTTTAAAGCTCATGGGTCCTCAAATAGGTGCTTCTTACATTAAGACTACATAAAAGAAACTTCAAAGTATACCAGCACAAAGCCGTCCAATTATCCGAGTACCACCAATGGAGGTTTTAACCACAGGTATAGCATCTGCTAACTCAGTCTCAAACACACTGTACACAAACCAGTTATGCTAAGATTCATTTCTTTCTAAACCCACATACAAAACCCAAAATTCAAAAAAAAAAAAAATCAAATTTTTGCGCATCCTCAACAGACAAACAAACCTGTAGAAGTTTTCTGAACCTCCAATTGCAACCAAACAGTAGGCATTGGTCAGCTTCGAGAACACCCCAACTTCACATGAGTTCTCAAATTGAAGGCCTACACAAAACCCAAGTACAAAAATAAGCAAAGGGCACAGAGAGACAACAAATCAAGATTGAAACTTTAACCTTCAATAAATAGCGATCAAACAATAAGGAACAATCATATATGTGTATATATATATATATATATCGAGTGGTGTGAATAACTTACGAGTTGCCATGGTGAGAAGAAAAAGGTTCGTTGGAGTCAGAGAATTACAGGGTCTGCGATTACCACGGGAAAAAAAAAATGTAAAAAAATGAAAATCGAAAATCAACAGGAACGCTTCAATAGTTCATTAAACCATATGAACATATATATACATATAGATAGATAGATGTGTGTGTGAGTGGATTACCTGAGATATGTTTTGCCGGGAGCTTAGGTCTGAGAGGTTCGCTTGTATTTCACCAATGGCAGTGTTCAAATTAGGGTTTTATAAGCGCTTAGGCCCCGTTTGTTTTGAGTTATAGGAGGGGATTAAGATTACTAGTACCTTGGGATTAGTATATGGGGTGTTTGTTTTGAGAGATAGCCTAGGGACTATTAATATCTTAGGACTAACTAATACCTTGATATTACTAATATCTTGTTTGTTAGTACCTTGGGATTAGTATATGGGGTGTTTGCTTTGAGAGATAGCCTAGGGACTATTAATATCTTGGGACTAACTAATACCTTGGTATTACTAATATCTTGTTTGTTTTGAGAGATAGGAAGGGTACTACTAATACCTTGGTATTACTAATACCTTGGGGAGGGGATTCATAGTGAGAAGGTAGAGATGGTATTAGAAAAATAGTGAGGGGATTAGAAATTTTTTTATTTTTTTTATTTTTTATATATTGGAAATTTTTTTAAAAATATAATTTTTAATTTTTTATATTTTTTTATTTGTTTTATTATTTTATAAAAAAATAATTTAACAATTCCTCACCACTAATCCCCTCACTATGAATCCCCTCACTACTAATCCCCTCACTATCAATCCCCTCACTAACAATCCCCTCATTATTAATCCCCTCACTATCAATCCCCTTCATTCTATCTCTGAAAACAAACGACCCTCACTAACAATCCCCTCACTATTAATCCCCTCGCTATCAATCCCCTCCATTTCATCTCTGGAAACAAACGGGGCCTTGGGATTTTTTAATGACAAACTGGGAAAAAGAATTTGATTTTTTAAAATTTTGCTAACGCTCTTGATTTGGAATTTGAAACTTGAAAGAAAAAACATAAATAAAATATATTTATATTTTGGGGGATTTGGTGATAGTCCCCTCACTATCTAATTTGTCTTTCAAAAGGACAAGAATTATATAAGTACTTTCAAAACCCCCTGATATTTTAAAACTTGTTTCTTTTACTATATTACCCTCATATCTATCAGTTCTCCTATTAAGCCATTTTCACTATATATTTGGGGGATTTGGTGATAGTCCCCTCACTATCTAATTTGTCTTTCAAAAGGACAAGAATTATATAAGTACTTTCAAAACCCCCTGATATTTTAAAACTTGTTTCTTTTACTATATTACCCTCATATCTATCAGCTCTCCTATTAAGACATTTTCACTATGTATTTCAGTCTGAAGCTAAAAGTAAAATTTTACTCTGTATAAAAGTAAAATTTTACTCTGGTTCTGTCAAATGAAAAAAACAGAGCAATAGAACCAAAATAAAATTTTACTCTGGTTCTATCAAATGAAATTAGATCATTTACAGCCACTGTTCTTCTGTTTCTTCACAGTTACTTGGCTCTTTCGTATCACCTCTTTGGCTTCTCTATTATCTATTACATATACACAATCCATATTGCTCACTCACGATACAAAAATGTATCAAAATCAAAAACAATTTTACAATAAAAAGTTGAGAGAATATAGTAACAACTCATCAATAAATCAATTTAAGAACTTAACAACACTATCCAAATGAAAAATCTCTCCATCACACACACACACACACACAAACACACATATATATATATATGAAAAATCTGAAGAACTGTGTTCAAATATGAAAATTTTGAACAGTCGTGCGATTCGTCTCTATACTCTTTCACAATTCGAATTTTTGATCGACGAGGCTATCATTAACGACAAGAACATGAACTTCATGAGAATTGGAACGCGATACGTCAACGTCGTCGAAGCTTTCTCTGATCATCTCCGACGATCTCTTCCACTGCGAAACCTATGCGCCATTCAAAGAAAATTCTCTACAACTACGAGTGATTTAGGTATATTCACAGTTTTGGTTGAAATCACGAGAGCTTCGAACGAATCCAATCCAAACCCTAGGAATGGAAGAGAGAAGGATAATTTTTTTCTTAGTCCTTTTAACAATGAAAGGAAGGTAAAGAGGGTTTATAGCTAAATTTCCCTTATATTTTATCTAATTTTATATATATATATATATATATATTATTTTAAATTTTTTTTCAAATCTTTCGATCAAACCTGAAGTTAAAAAAGATTCGGTAACTATATTTTAGACCAATTGGAATATATTATTTTATCTTAAAATTCAAAAAATCCCTACAATAAATCGTCATATTACTCTTTTTATTTTTTTATACCTATTTTAAAAAAAAATTAAAAAATCAACTATAGCAGTCAGCTTCCAAACTATCTCATAGTATTTTTATTTATTTTTTTGAAAGTGATAAATTATAAATATATGATTTTGAAAATTACATTTTGCAATATCAAATTTATAATCACATAATAAATTATCTCTTGTATTAATTAACTATTAAGTCAATAAATAAATTTTAATAATATTATAAATATATTTTTCAGTTAAAAGTTCTAATAATTTTATTATTATATAAGAGATTAATTAGGAATTTTATTTTATTTTTTAGTTAATTGTGTTAAATAATAAATTCGATAACAATTTCTAAAATCACAAGTAATAAATCGTATTTTAAATAAAATTTTAAGAAGTGTATTTATAATTTATTCTAAAAAATTATTAATTAAAAGTTAATTGTTAAATTATGTTTCAGTCAAAACAAAGTTTTTTATTTTTTTGACTCATTTAACCAAATCAATGGCCTAATAAAACGTTTAGCAAAATATATATATATATAACTAGTTGAGTTTTTTTTTTTTTTTTGGTGGAAATAATTAGTTGAATTATTAAGCGAGATGGACAAACGATGAGGGGAAAAAAAAAACCTTGATTATATTTTAGAATGAATCTTCAATAAATTTCAAAATATAATGTTGTGAATGGTTTAGTCCTTCTGTTTTTTTTATAAATCTAAGTCCTATTAAAGTGAAAATTACATAAAAAGATTGTCACTTATATGTTTGGGTTTAATTTTTTAAGGATAAAAGTGAATTTCTCCAAATGTAAAATTACATATTTGGGCAATTCGCACTATAGAGGTTTTGAATTTTCCCTCTTCATGGAACAAATCTCACATTACGAATAAAAACGTAACAATACTCTAATAAGGTAACACTCTAATGTAACACACTAAAAAACTTCTTAATATACTTTTCTCAAATGTAACAACGTAATACTTCAAAAAAAATTGCTTAGTATACTTTTCTCAAACGTAACAACGTAACATTTCAAAAAAACTCCTTAGTGTATTTTTCTCAAATGTAACACTTCAATGTAACATAAAAAAAAACTCCTTAGTGTACTTTTTCCAAACATAACACCACAATCAATGTAATCCCAAACACAACATTCCAATATAAGATATTCCAATATAACACATAAATACTAAAAAATAATTTAATGTACTTTTCCTAAACGTAACACTAACAGTTTGAAAATTATACATTTATCCAAAACTTACTAACGAATTTTTGTAATCTTTTTGGAATGGTTTGAAAAATCTCACATCTTTTGTTTTGTTTTGTTTTTTTTTGAAAAATCTCCCATCTTTTTTTTTTTTTTTTTTTTTTTTTTTTTTTTTTGAGTGTTACATTAGAATGTTATGTTTGGAAACACTTTACATTAGAGTGTTATACCAAGAAGTTTTTTACGTTTGAAAAAATATACTAAAGATTTTTTTTTTTAAATGTTACACTGGAGTGTTACATTGAAATGTTACAGTTTAAAATTATACATTTGTCCAAAGCTTACTAATGAGTTTTTATACTCTTTTTGAAATATTTGAAGAATCTCACATTCTTTTGGAATATTTGAAAGATCACATATTTCAAGTCATTTATATACTTATTTTGAAATGTTTTCCAAATAAAAAAGATTCTCATATAAAATTTAATTCCAAATTTAATTCTCATAGATTGTGTACCTTTCTAGCACAAAAGAAAAAAGAAAATGAAACATAATAAAAATAAGGGTATAACCGTAAATTTAATTTTTAAATAATATATTAAATCTACATTTCTAAAATCAATGGAACTAATTGGTCTACAAAAAAATCTTTGAGACTAAATGGACTATCATTTTTCAATATAGGACTTATAGATAAATTTTCTTATATTTTATGGGAGAAAAAATATATATTTTTAAATTATATTACTAATGAGTTTGCTTTGTGTGTTTTCTGACAATATTAGAAGAAAATAAAAATATCACATTGCATAAAAGTAATTTATGCAAACAATCACACTCAAAAGACATATCATATATATATATATATATATTAAAAGTAATATTTTTGCTATGTTTAGGTAACACATTATAAGGGTTTACTTTTTTTTAAAAGAGTCGTGTCAACATCTATTTTCTTAATTAAAAATATTGTTTAAGTGGCACATTATAAGACAAATTATAAGAGCTTATTTTTTTCTAAGAAAATTGCGTCAACATCTATTTTTTTAATTACAAATAAAGTTCTACATAAATTCAAACATAATTTAAATTATACTAGTTTTACCTTTTTTATATGGATCCTATTTGACAAATATTTATTTTCATATATTTTTCATCGTAAATTAAGATAATCTACAAACCCAATATCAATTTTACGTTTCACATTTTTCTTCTTAATTCTGTCAAGGATTTTTTTAATGTTAAATTGCTTTTTTTTTCTTATTTTTCTGTACATTATTTTATACCCAATATCAATTCTATATTATTCTATATAATGGATTTGTTGTTTAAATTTTATAGTGATTCTATATATGAAATTATATTTCATTTCCTACATTATTTTATATAATCACAATTCTTTTCTTATTTTTCTGTACATTATTTTATACCCAATATCAATTCTATATTATTCTATATAATGGATTTGTTGTTTAAATTTTATAGTGATTCTATATATGAAATTATATTTCATTTCCTACATTATTTTATATAATCACAATTCACAGGAAGAAAAAACTGCACAACATTGATACTCTCAAGAAACTCTAAAGTTTGGATTTATTGCTTGAGTTACTTTTTCAATTGTTGAACAGTAAATTTTTTTATGTTTTGACATCATATTACAGATGATTAATCACTTCACACACTAAAATGTAT